ATCTGAGAAGATGCTTTGCAGTATTTCAGTGTTTTTAAATTTATTAAGGCTTGCTTTCTGGCCTAACATGTGGTGTATTCTGGAGAATGTTCCATTTGCACTGGAAAAAAATATATATTGTGCTGTTGTTGGGTGAAGTGCTCTATAGATGTGTGTAAGGTCAAGTTGGCAGATTGTCTTATTTAGCTCTTCTTCTGTATCTTTGTTGAGTTTCTTTCCAGTTGTATCTTCCTTTGAAAGTGGTGTATTAAAGTCTACTACTATGACTGTGGACTCATCTATTTGCCTTTTTTCAGTTCTTTTAAAGTCTGGTTTATGTATTTTGGTGCTCTTTCATTAGGGCCATAGATATTTATTATCGTTATATATTCTTGTTTGATTGATCCTTTAATCATTATATAATGTGCTTCCTTGCCTTTTATGGTGGTTTTTGCTTTACAGTCCATTTTATCAGAAGTTAATACTTCCACTCCTACTCTCTTTTGATTGCCATTTACTTGATATATCTTTTTCCAACCATTGATTTTTAGTCTGTTTTTGTCTTTGTCTCTAAGTTTTGTCTTTTGTAGGCAGCGTATTGATGGGTTATGTTTTCTTATCCCATCTGCAACTCTCCATCTCTTGAGTGGTGCATTTAATTCATTGACATTCAGTGTAATTATCAACAAGTGTGAATTGGTTGCACTTATTTTGTTACGTGTTTTTTCATGGCGTTCCTGGTTTCTTTGTTCCATATAATTTTCTGTGCTGAGCTCATTATATTTATGAATCATGTTATCATTTCCTTTGTTGCTATTGTTTTAGTATTTGCTAAATATTTGTGCTTGTCCTCTTTTTTATTTTGATGTTAAGGATTTTCATGTTTCTTTGAGGTTACCCTGTGATTTATAATTTTCTTCCCAAGTTTAAAATAGTCCATTCTGTCTTGCAAGTCTCTTTACTCCCTCACCACTTAGAAGTTCTGTAACTACACTATTTTTTCCCACTTTTTGGTTTGTAGTTGTCTTCATTTGCCAACTGATGCCTGTGGTTCCTTGTTTACAATCTTGTAAGCTTATTTACTTTGGATACTTCCATAGCTATGTTGGTTTCTGTGTTATGTCATCTTGTGTATTAATGGCCGGTTTTTGTTTGCTATTGTTGGTTCTCTGTTCAAAGGACTCCATTTAGTATCTCTTGTAAGATTGGTATGGTTTTCATAATGTCCCTTAATTTCTCCTTATCTGGCAATCTCCTAATTTCACCATCATATTTGAAGGACAATTTTGGTGGGTATGTATTTCTTAGTTGGAAATTTTTCTCTTTCAGAGTTTTATATATACCATCCCATTGCTTTCTTGCTTGCATGGTTTCTGCTTAGAAATCAGAGCTTATTCTTATTGGTTGTCCTTTGTAGGTAACTTTTCATTTTTCCCATGCTGCTTTCAGAATTCTTTCTTTGTCTTTGGTTTTGATGAGTTTGATGATGATATGTCTTGGTGATTTTCTTTTGAGGTCTATCCTATTTGGGGTTTGTTGGACTTTCTGAATGGATATATTCTTATCTTTCATCGTATTGGGGAAGTTCTCTTACAAGAAATCTTGGACAATTTTCTAAGTGGTTTTCTTTTTCTCTTCCTGTTCTGAAATTCCAGTTACACGTAGGTTATTCCTTTTGATGGTATCCCACATGACCTTAGGCTTTCTTCATTTTGTTTTGCTCATTTTTTTTAGTGATCCCTTTCCAAAGAAGTGTTCAGATATTTGTCTTCAATCTTATTAATTCTTCCATTGTTTTGCTTCTACTCCTTTGCCCTTTCAATGTGTTGTCTATCTGAAAATTTAGTATTAAACTTCTGGATTTCTATCTGTAGATTTTTGATTTCTAGCTTTTCATTTATTTTATCATTCTTGTATTTTCTTCTGCAGTTGTTCTAGGATTTTGTCTCTGTTTTCCTTAATTTTGTCTGCATTTTCCTTGTTCTGTTTCTCAGTCCTTTGAAGATGACTAAGTATAATTGTTTTGAATTCCATATCAGGAAGTTCGAGTGCTGCTTCTCTCTCAGGGATGTTTTCTGGGTGTGTATTCTATTCCCTTGTTTCTACCACTTTATCTTCTTTGTGTGGACTGTAGTGGTCTGTTGTCTCTGAGACATTGCAACATTGTTGTATTTAGACCTCTGTTAAGTATGGTGAGAAGTTAAGGGTGAGTCAGGAGCTTCTTGGTGGTCATTTATTGTTGGCCAGTTGATGAAGAAGGAAGTGGTGGCTCTCAGTAAGAGGAACTATGGGAAATACAGGTGTGGTTGTGTCGTACGGGCATGATTGCTGTCTCCCACTCAGTCAGACACAAACAATGATCAAAAAAAACATCAAAAAAGTAAAAGCAATCTGGCAAAAAACACACTGAATAAACAGTGACACAGGAAAAATTACCAAAAAAAGGAAAAAGAAAAGAAGAAAGAAAAAACCTCGCATTATCTGTGGAGGGCAAAATAAAGCGAAAAGAGGTAGAGTAGGAGAATAATGAAGAATAAAATGGGAAACATGCAAAAAGAAGAAGGAATGGGGTTAACCACGAGAAAGAAAAGAAAATGGTAATCAGGAACAGGGAAGAGCAAAAAAGCTGAAAACTGGAAACCAGGAAGGGAAGAATAAAGAATTATAATAAAAAGGACAATAATAATAATAATTTTAAAACAGACAAAAACAAACATACTTTAAAAAAAAAGGAAAAATATATCTGGGTGGGGCAGGGCATCCATGCTCCATCAGAGGGCACAGATTGGGATGGAATTCCTGCTGGCCCAGAAGGTGGGTGGGAGTGAGGGATGGCCCTGTACCTTCATTCACCAAGAGGATGTGGGGTATAACAGTAACAAGGGGAATGTCACACCTTTTCAGTCATTCACTACTCAGCAAATGGAGCCTATTCTTAGGTCTCTGGAATCTGAGAGAACACTGTCACTTTAAATATCCAAAATGGTTGAACCACTTGTATACATTCAAAATGGCTGTACCCTCTGGACGGGTCAAAATTCACAGCTCAGCCCATTTCCTTCTTTGCTGCTTTCCCTTGTATTCATTGGACACCAGTGCAGTCCTCTGTGCAGCTGCTGGCTAGCAGCATCAATTTTTAGGTTAATTCTTAGGTCCTTACTCCACTTGGCAATATCTAAGCTGTCCATGCTGTCAAGATTGCTGACAGACCACAGCTCTATATATGTCCTTTTTTTTTTTGGTGTTTTCTTGCAGGTTCTTCTACTAGTTGGAGTTTATTCCACTTCTGTATCCTTCCTTTCAAAGCTCAGGGCTCCAGGATTATCTACTGTATCTGTATTAATTGGTTCCCCCCTTTTCTTTGTTGAAGAGGGTCTGTGTAGTTTGTCTGCCTATTCTGCCATTTTATTGGAACCCAGTTGGCAATTCTTATCTTTCAGGGTTTTATGTATTTCATCTCATTGCTTCCTTGCCTGCATGATTCTTCTGAGAAGTCAGATTTTAGTCTTATTGGTAACCCTTTGTAGGAGTTATTTCATTTCTTATAAGCTGCTCTCATCTTCTTTATTTGTCATTATTTTAGAAAGTTTGATTATAGTGTGTCTTGGTGACTTTCTTTTGGCTTCTGTGCTGTATGGGGTTTGTTGAACCTCTTGAATGGAAATATTCTCATCTTTCATTATATTGGGGAAGTTTTCTGCTAGTAAATCTTTAAAGATTATCTCTGTGCTTTTATTTTTCTCTTCCTGTTGTCGAGTTCCAATTAGACATGGATTATTCCTCTTGATCATGTCCTAATAATTCTTAGGCTTTCTTCATGGTGTTTTCTGATTGTTCCTCAGTCAAAACTAGGTTAATTTGTATAGAAAACTTAATAAAGTATAATTTCCAGGTAAATACTTAAATAACTTAAAAATTTAAATCAACTTTCCTTTTCCTTTCCTGAAAATTCAGTCCTAAATCCAAGGGCTAGGGGGAAGAAAGTAGGTATATGCATGTGTGGGAGGGGAGAGACATGGGGCCCAGAGAATGGTGTCAGAACCAAAATGTGGTGTGGAAGATATCCACAGGGTGAGACGGGCAGCATGATATGTGTTGTCATGGCCAGAATAGGGGAAGAATGTGTCCACATTGGGTGTGTGTGTGGGGGGGCAGGAACAGCCTGTATAGGGTACAGAGGCTGAGCAGGTTGAGGAGATCTCCATATTGGAAGGTGAAAGAACTCACAAAGAATCAGAGCCTGAAGGAATGAGGAGTGTCATGCCTGGTGGGTGGCCTGTGCATGTGTCAGACCCTAAGCAGGTGAAGGGAGCATCCACATGTGGGCTGCCCATTGCAGTAGTCAAGACTGAGTGGCATGAGGAGGGTATCCCTGTGAGGGGCAGGCCAAAGTGAGTTTGCTATTATCTATATCTCTGTGTAACTTTTTGGTTTTTACCTTAGTATGACAATAATCTGTTCACTTCCTTCTGCCTCCCTCCCTCCCTCCCTCCCTTCCTCCCTCTCTCCATCCCTCCCTTTCTTCTTTCCTTTCTTTGTTTTCAGCAATAAATAGATGTAGGCATAGCTAGATAAGGAGCTCTCGTGGTGTAGTGGTTAAGACATTTGGCTGCTAACCAGAAGGTCAGTGGTTTGAACCCCCCAGGAGCTCTACAGAAGAAAGATGAGGCAGTATGCTTCTGTAAAGATACAGTCTTGGAAACCCAATGAGGGGTCACTGTGAGTTGGAATTGACACTGTGGCAGTGAGTTTGGTCTGGTTTGAGACATAGATAGATGGGTGGATAGGTAGACAGACAGACAGATAGATAGATAAAGGAGTTGTAGTGTGAAGACTTGTTGATATTTTTCCTCTTTAAATTTTAGTAAAATGCAAAAAGTAATACCCTCAAAGGGATATGCTAGTGATTTGGTGTGTAACTATTAATTTATAAAACAGAAATGTCTATGCTTTGGAAATAAAATAAAAATGATTTCTTTAGGTTACTAATTTTATTTTTTTTTCTATTCTTTCCTTTGTAGTGTCTATAAATTCTTTAACTTACTGAAAGAAATTGATACCAGTACCAAAGTTGATAATGCTATGTCAAGACTGTTGAAGAAGTATAAAGTGTTATGTGCACTCTACAGCAAATTAGAAAGGTAAAGTGAAAACATTATTAGGGTTACAATATGTTTTTTCATGTTATTGCTCATAGTTAGATTCCATATGGGAACTATTGTATATTTAGTAAAGTTGTAAGTACTACCCCTTAGATATATTTCTCCTTTGTGATTGTATTTTATTAATTCATAGCTTTCTTATTTATCATACACATTCCAAATGCTTCCTCCAAAATTGACTCTTTTAGTCTCTTTTCACATCTCTCGTTTGTTTTAGCAAACTTGAAGCTTAGTTCCCACCTTAGCTTTCTCTTGCCAGAACACTTCTAGTTCGAATGGAAGAGTGACCTGAATTTCAGCCTCTTCTTCAAACTGTTACTTAGTTTAGAAAGAGAAAAGATACTGGGAATGGAAAATGTTTTTAATCTGTACTACTGAGCTGTGATTTGTACTCTCAGTGGTGGTTTAGAAGACTTTTCACCAATACTGTTCAACTGGGAGAATGATGAAATTCAAATAAACTTGGATTAAGTTTTTTATATGCTTTTCATCAAAACTGTAGCCCCTCCACCCACAGTGTTAAACCAGTTGCTGTTGAATTGATTCCACCTTGTGCAGCCCTATCTATGTGTAGGAGAGTGGAACTATGTTCCATAGGGTTTTCATTGGCTGACTTTTTGGAAATAGATCACCAGGCCTTTCTTCTGAGACATGTGTGGGTGGGCTTGACTCTGAATTTCCAGTCAGCAACAGTCTGCATTGACTGTATCAAGTGAGAACTCCATCCCAGTCTTAAAATGTAATAATGTGTCAACCTTTTTAACTCTGTTTATTTTGAGGTGCTTATGGTCAGGAAGTAAAAAAAATTATGTTTTAGCTAAATTACATAAGCAATTATATAACACAATGAGGAAGGGAGATGGCGAAAAGAGACATGTCCTTAGATGTTCTGAGGAGAATAAGGCTGGTGATAGAGCTTGGGGGAAAAAAAGCATTTCCTCAGAAGGATACTTATATTTTTCCTTGTCCTTGGTTGGTATGACATTAAAACTTCAGAGGTGTGATAAAGGATGAGAAAGTGGAGGAAAAAACTCAAAGATTTGCCTAAGGTTTTTGAAGGGAGTGCTTTTTTCTTGCTCCTGATATTTAATTGTAATATGGTAGCATCAGCCATCATTTTCTTTTGTCCTTTCTTGAAACAAGTACTTTGCACAGGAAAAAAGGGAATTTTTAAAAAATTATTTAAAAAAAAATTATATAAGTACCTTACGTAAGAAATGTGAGGTAATTTGCAGAACACTTCTAAGACATAGAAAGGTATAAATAATAAAATATGAATCACTTAAAATTTCAATAGTGGAAGTAATTACTGTTCATACTTATTTTCTTTTGTTTTACATAGATGACATATACATAGGTTTTTATATTTAGCTTTTTCATCTAATAGGGAATTACTAAATGCTTTTCTGTCCCTTAAAGTTGTTTGTAACCTTTATCTAGTTTATCCTAAGAATATAATTCTTAATAGAAAAAGACTTTTGCAAAATTTTTTATTGTGATTTGGGTGAAAGTTTACAGAGCAATTCATCTTCCATACAGCAGTTCACATATACTTTGTCTCATGACATTGACTGCAATTTCCCACAATGCAACATCTCTCCTCCCACTTCCTTCCCATTGCCACCTCTTCCCTGTGTCCTTCCCCTTCACGCACTCCTGCCCCTTGAGCTGTCTCCCTGTGCATACCTAGCCCTTCTATTCTCCCATGATTGATCTCTCCAAGGAGTGTATCTACCTAATAGAAATGTTCAGCTCATATGCCTGTGTTTTATTGTCTGCAAGCCACAGGAGTGGGTTCAGTTCCAGACCTGAAGGACAGCTAGGGGCCATAGTCTCAGGGGTTCCACCAGGATCTATCAGACCAGCAGACCTGG